TGCTCATACTTTGGCCCGGTTGATTATAGTGTAAAACAGTGTAAAAGAAATTGCTAGTTCAAAGAAAATTGCTTGTTTTTGTCCGACCAACAACCCAAAAAGTATGTAAATTACCGTCATACAAAATATAGAAAAAGGAAACACTCACATTTAAAAAATGGAACGAGCAAATGTTTGAAATTTTAGATTGATAAATAACTTCAGAATGTGGGAAATTAACATTTTAGATAGTTATAAATGTATTGAGTGTTAATTAATTCCTCATCATCCAACTGATTACATTACTGATTGATACATCTCAGAATTGAATAATCACTTTAATTATTACTTTAAAGTATGAGTAGCCTTGGATAAAAAAAAAAAAAAAATTAAAAATTAAATAAGCAAGAAATGTCTGCCGTTATCTGCCGGCAAACATGTATGAGAGTTTTGATGTTTAAAAAACAACACACACACACACACACACACACACACACACACACACACACACACAGAAAAGAATGCTGCTTCTTCTGACAGAGAAAAGCAGACATGAAGGAGGCAGATGAGGAACAGCTGAGCAGAAAAGAAGCAAGATTGTGCTGACCTTCACTGACAGAACCATTCACATCCCACTGCCGAGGACAGGGACCTACACCCGAGCAGCCTGCCTCCATTACACACGCTTTGTGTTGCGTATTCAATTCACCAGTAAAATCAATTAACAGCTACCCATCTGATTGATTGGAGCTAATTAACATGGCCATGGAGGATGCTAATGGTCGTTGAGGGAGGTCTGAAACGCCCTGGTGCTCCAAGGTCAAAACTGCAGCAAATTTAGGTTGTGCAGAGCCAGATGACAGAACAGCAGCTATTGTATGCTGCCAAGACACTCCACCGTACTGCCTTGACATTCAAGCCTTCAGCAAGTGCTGGGACAATGAAAGCGGTGTGAAGAGTATTCTCTCATAAGGTATGTTTTGCTTTTGTAGAAGATATTATTTGTAACTGTAGAGCAGCAAAGCAAATTCTAATTGATATTTGATTAAATGGAGGCAGCTTGTCAGAGTGGGTTGGGACTGTTATCCACAGATCCCAACATCTAGTTTTGATAAGAGTCATTGTCGCAGCCTGAGTGAGGGGAACAGGGATTTGGCGAGGGATGGGAGGGAGGCACAGCATTAATTTTCACTGTTTCCATTTTCAATTCTCTGGAGCCATATGGTGTGGCGTCAAGCTGGAAAAAGAACAAATAACAATTTGACGCCAGAGACCAGGACTCACAGCAGTGAGGGAGGCAAAAAAAAATACAAAAATACACACGAGACTAAAAGAAAAAAAAAAAGAAAAAAAAGAAAAGAAAATAGAGAGCTCCTTCTAGTTATTTCCAGAACTGAACATATTGTGATTAGGCTTTGGCAACGTGATGAGATGTGTGAGGTTGGAAACAGAAGGTGGCAGGAAGAGGGGACTCACCCTGTCACCACTAGCAAGACAACTGCCAACAGTGACAGGGCATTAATCAACTCCTCACAATACACACATCCACATACACAGTGGGGGGAAGTTTGTATACAGATGCCATAAAGCACAGCCTTATATATCCACTGTCAGTCACTCTGACGACTTTTTTTTATTTTTTTTTTTATTTACAAGGCATCAGCTGGTCTACTCGCAAATGGAAAAATGTTTTTTCTTAGAAGATAGAACACAGTGAGAAGATTTGTTTTTTTGTTGGTGGCACAACTGATTTCAGCTTCAGACAACTTGGGAATATTTCAGACATCAAATCTTATGAGATACAATCACATCTAGTTCTTCAGATGAGTGCATCTGATCAGCGACAACAAAGGGCGCCGCCACAGAAATCTCATATCTCTACCTCAGAGTGCTGAATCCAATATGACAGCTAATCAAAAGCAGGACAGCTGTCAATAGACTTTATGGACATTGGTAATTCTGCAGCAGTGCAGATGGACTACGGTGAGGGGGAGCAAGATGACTCAGTCTATCAGGACTCCCATCTTCAACCCAGCAGGAGTGCTGGCCGATAATCGAAATCTCTGGCAGGGGTCGTCGGGTTGACGAGTGTGTTTGTGTGTTGTACGTGTGGGTGCATTTAAAAAGCGAGAGAGAAATACAGCAAAAGGACGTATGAAGATGAATAGACAGAGAGGGGTGAAAAAAGAAAAGATCGAGCCAAGATACGAAGCCAAGGAGCAGACGGCAGAGGCTTAATGGTGTGTGTTTGTGTGCGTGAGCGTTTGAGCTTCCAATAGTGTGACTGCTTCTACATATTGAAAATTATAGAAATAGTTTATGGGGCGCTCTTACAGAAGCAACGGGCAGCAGATCTGAAAGCGGTCTGTGTTTTGCTAGGCTTCTGAGGCAGACCTCAGCTAATTTCCCAGAGTGCCGCTGTGTGGAGACCCCATTCTGTTTCCCATCACGATACTCAATAAGTATCTGACAGGGCTCAGACCTGTGGTCAGCTTTGTTTCTCTGGGCCAAATGACTGTGACTTCTTTGTTCACACTAAAGTCGATGTCAGCCGGCAATGTGTCCAGCAGCAGGAGCCGAGGAGCTTTGTTTTTTGGTTTTTATTTTATTTTTCTCCACTTACTTAGTTCAGCTCCATCTGACCTTTGCTATCAACACCAATAGTTTAGTGTCCAACTACACACAGAAGATGAAAATCATTTTAAAATCAAACATCTGCAACTCCAACTCCACTGTGACCGAGATGTGAACCAGCTCTATTGCAAATGGATCTGCCCTAAACAAACGGACTAATTTTTTGCAGCTTCATTTGATGCCCCTGTCTCTGCTTACTTATGAGAAACGGCCATGGTATCACTGTACCTCTTTTTGGAGAAGTGGTGTCTATTGTTCTGGAAACAAACCCCACAAAGCAGCTGCTTTGATCCTCTGCTTTGGCTTTAAAATCTCAAAGCTCGATTTGACACTTGGCATTACTTCAGCTACTGAAATTATTTGGCATCGGTTTAGGCATACAAAGTGAGAGAACTGCCCAACTGTCACATTTTCCGCAGCAAAAATACCTTGTTAAATAGTCTCCTTTTGTTTTAATTTTGAAATCATAATCCTTAGGAGGCACTGCAAAATGACATACCACGAGGTTTAGACAGTGCACCTACAGCTAAGGCCAATTTACACTGTATGGGGGATGCAATGCTTGAATGTTAACAACTGTTATGACAATGACAAGGTCACTCCTACTTAGCTTTGAATATGGACAAAAAATGTGAGGAATGAGCTATCTCAGAGACAGACACATAGAGAGGGCTGGTAAAGAGAAAGACTTGGCCTGTAGAACCTTGTTTTACCAATGCGTCAGTCACCAGGATCTGTCTCAGTATGCCCATTGGCCATTCCAACTGTGGCTGTTGTACTAACGGCATTACCAACATACTGTGATCCATCGGTGTAATGCTGCCGGAGGGCACCAGAATGACCAACTAATGTAAGTAAACTTGCCACTGGTTAAATAACCTTCGAAATGAGCCACAACCATGCACGTACACTCATGCATGTGCGTCACAGATGTGCTCCGGTACTTACACAAATAGCATTCCACCTCTGGTTACCGAGGACGGTTTCTTTCGCATGCGCTTCGTCACCCCGAGGTTTGGGGTAGGTTCGACAAAGCATTTTAACAAACATGGTGGGCACAGAGCCGGTGAGCTTTACAAACATTATATCTAGGTTTCACCCAAGCGGTCACAAATTCCCAGATGCTTAAACCACAGCCCAGAATCAGCAGCTGGTCTGCTCACCTCTGCGTCAGACTCAAAGCAGCAGCTCAGGTTCCCAGATCACGTTATGCTAAGTTTGTTGAGGCGAAACGTGATGCGATCATCAGCTACTCCTTGTAGAGATGACAGTTCCCCGTGAGGACCATATGGAAGAGGCACATGTGCGGAAGCAGTCCATGTAACAGGAAGGCGCACTGTGAGCCCATTGAAGTAGGGCTGCCCGTTAACTGTGCAAGGTCTACACTTGGGACTGCAAAAAGTAAAGCCATCAAATCCAACATGGAGGCTGCAGAGAGAACCTCCAGATGGCTTTGGATCAGGAGTGATCCATAGCCACTGTCTGATCAACCCTGGCTGGATTACCTGAGCAAGAGTGTATGATGAAGAAGGACCCAAAACACCCGATGCCCTCAGGAACATCACTGAGGATGTGTGCCAGTGACAAGGAAGTCATTTTTTAATCACTATGGAGTTTAATAAACACTTCTCCACACTATAGCAGCAAAAACTGATTACCATGAGCTTCACAGACTTAGTAGCTATTGCAGGGATATTGGTGTTTATAAGTATGGGTTTCTCAGAGCCGCATCCCAAAAGTAAGTAACAATAATGACTGCTGTTGCCTGTGGCAGAGATTGATGTGACTTTGTTACTTTTCATAGGCACAAGTTGAAATGGAAGTGTAGAAATACCATTTTTAATAGGCTCATAATAGAAAATCTTACAAGAGTGATAAAGGACCCGAGACCAGCTATTCTAAATGCAGAGCACACATTGTAAAGGTGGAATAAGGAGGAATAGGTGTTCATTTGTGAAGGTCGCCCGCCTGAGAGCCACAATCCATTTGAGAATGAGATGAATGCACAATTCCTCGCCACAATCATGCCTATCCATTCAGCTGGATTTCACGGTGGCCCCTCCACACCGAGACCAGAAAGCACTTGCATTTCACACTTAGAGTTGTCACCATGGAAACGGCACAAAGACATCTGTTGGTGGATGTTGTACATAACTTTCTGTTCTGTGTCCAAATTAAGGGTGAGCATGGACACACTTCAAAAAAATGAAAAACACTGGAGCCCAAATAAATGGCTGCAAACACATGACACAAAAGATGACAAAAAACTCAATGTTCTATCATTTCTTAAGGTGGATGTCAGAACTGTCTGGATTATATCAACTTGGGCCTGTTCATGTGGTCTTGAGAGTCCTCAACTGACCCTGGGGTTTTTGTTGGTCTCTTACCTGATGGATGATCTCAGAAACTGGCAGCTGGTCTGCATATGAGTGCATCTCTTTTTGCAGCTCTCCGTTCACAGCACTGAAAGACAACACACACACACACACACACACACACACACACACACACACACACACAACACACACACACACACACACACACACACACACACACACACACACACACACACACACACACACACACACACACACACACACACACACACACAAAACAGCCGTTTTTTAGCATTTATTTGAAGTAAGTAAATTGCACTTTGGAAACATCAAGCTTTTGTTGTGTGAGACACCATTACCCAGTGATGAAGAAAAGCTGTCGGGGAGAGGAACAGACTCCAGTGTCTCTGTTGGCAGTGTGTGTGTAGCAGAGGTGTGCGTGATTGACATATCATTTCAGAGCCAAGTCAATGATATGCAGCGCAAATTGATGCAAATGAACCCATTTTTTTTTTCCTCTTAATGAATGAAAAAAAATCATCTTGAGGAACATTGACAGTCAAAATCATCTTGTTCTTGGATGGAGCCATTTTATATCACTTCAGAACTCATAAGGACAAAACAAATGAAAAAGAAAAACATACAAAACACATTTCTCAAGTAAAGCACCACCTAAAAATCTATCTTCCGAGCAATCCACTCACCACCTTTTTATTTTAATGATTTTAGAAGTGTTAGGAGAGCTCCAAGTTCCCAGGCCCCCTGTCCTATCCACAGTGCACTCAGCACTTCGGTTAGTTTTTCTAAAGACCATCATCAATGCAGCAATCCCTGAAAGTTAAAAGGAGTTGCAGGGTCAACTTCAATACTCACACAGGGTTGTTGTTAAATTTGTTGTAGAAGTAAACGAACTCTGATACAGCTAATGTTTGTTGTTGATGCTACACAGTGGCATCAGCTCTCCACAGCGTCTCATTTACACCCACCAGTGCTTTCTTCTTCTCTTGGATTTTCTTACACAAAAGAAATACAAGTGAAACTTTGACTGTGAAGTGTGCTAACTTTGAGTTTTGCTGTGTTGCACTAAATCACCTGAATCCAGAAAAACTAGAGAATTCTGCACAAGCGTGAGGAAAAAAGCACAAATGAAAAAAGCTGAGTTATTTAATGTAGGACAGCGAGAGAATTTAATTTGCTCAAAATGTGCACAGACACAGGAACTTAATGGACAGAAAATCCAACAAAAGGCTTCAAATAACAGTTAATCTGGATTGCAACAGGTTTCAAACTTGGAGCTTTTCCTCAGGCAGACAATCTTCCTGAGTCAGTCTGTAACATGGTTATGATATACAGTCTCAGGTCTTATCTCGCACAGTAAATACGAGGGTATTTTAGTCTGGCAGGTGGTAAGCTTGAGCTTTGTAACAGACTTTGATAAACATAAAACAAAAGAAAACAACGAAAGGAAACAAAAATCATTGGGTTGTGGAGGAAACCACATTGTAGCATTTGTTCTTGGGAGTTGTAGTTTTCTGCATCTGCCGCCAGAATGTAGTGACTAAAGAGCCATATGTTAGTGAGAGAAAGGTTAAAGATTTTACAGTGATTAGTTGTTCTAAGTGTTTACTGAATCTGCAGAGGATTCATTTCAGGAAAAAAAAACTACACATACACGCCATTGGACAACTTTGCTATGTGTATCCCTGTAACCAAGGCCAGTGTGTAATGTCAGGACAAATCTCTGCTCAGTTTTAAGAGAAAAGATGGACCTGTGCCGTTAGAAAAGCTGTCCCTAAACCACATTGTTCTTGGTAACCATGTGGCAGGTGATGAATAGACATTAGCTAATGTGAGACAAGATGTATTAAAACTGCTGTTATCCAAAAAGGAAAAAATTTAAAAAAAAAATATTAAAACGCATCAATGAGCCACACTGTCGCTTTTTGTTCTGTTGTTTGTTCACTGTAATGAAGGAACATGTCACCAGAGGCACCATTGTTTATTCCCTCATATACTGTCCTGTTGCAATAAATACGCACTGATTTTACCGTTACTGTTTTAGTAACATTTGCTAAAGAATAAAAAGAATATGTTCCATGTATATAATAGAAAATGAATCAGCCTTTTCCAGAAATGAAAGTACATGTTTGTGACCCATTTATTTTTTAAAGATCCTCAGTAGGAATGAATGGCTTTAGGGAGAAGAACAACAGACTGTCTGGAAGGTTGGACAGTATTGAGACTGACAAGACCATTTTTGGCTTTGGTCTTTTCATGGGATAGATTGACAAGAACAAAAATATCAAATAATGCCAGCCTTATCCCTTAAAGCTACAGTGGCAAGGTGTTTCTTATCAGCATAAATCACAAATGGGGTTTGAATATGAAAAGTACAATACAGAAATATATCCAGCTCTGGCTGCCACTGACTGATTTACTTGACCACAGCATTACTTTCTTAAATCTTTCAGATGTTTACTTTTGTGTTCTTGTAGGTTTACCACTGAAGCATGCAACTGAACCATCTTTATGAACTCTATCAGGGCTTCAACAAAAACCACATAGGACAAACAAAAAAATGCATAAAAACAAGGAAACAAAACTGTCAAATGACATTACATCTCTCAGTTCAAACACTTCTCAAACCCGTTGCAACTGTGTGGATCCACCAACTTGCCACGATTGCCGTGGGCAGTTTTGAAATGCTTGTGTGCCTCCATGTATATCTTTTTTGAAAGACAGTTTGTCTCCAACATCACAGTCTGATACAGAGTCAGAGAGAAGAGTCTCAGCTAAAGGTCACAGTCGAGTGGAGGCTGTTTTTGGATAATCAAAGAAAGTTCAGGTCAGACAGTTGCTGACAAAGTGGGCCATATCCCCCAGTGAGCCACCATGGCTCTCCTCCAACCACTTGCTGAGTGAAGCAACCTGTTCTCCTTTTTCTTTTTTGTCCCTTTCTTCTCTCTAAGTTACTTTGTGCTCAACATTTGTTGCTCTCTTGCTCTTCCTTCTTCAACTTCCTGTCTTCATCCCTTTCTATTGAACTCCATTTCTCTGCCCCTCTCTCTTCCCAACACGTGTATGTGGTAAGGCAGAAGTTGTTCTGACAGACAGGAACACAGACCGAAGAAAACAGGCCGGGCTGGCTGGCACGGAGAACATCTCCTGCTGAGCCCCTCTATGGGCCCCCAGCTCTTTCTGCCACTAGAAACATGTCACCGAGGGCAACGATGGCTCACCGCTCCCACCCCTTCACCCCCTTTCACTTAGCACAAGACATGAGGTCTAATTCAATTCAAACCACTTTCCACTTTATTTTCCATGAAGAGATTTTTTGGAGTGGATTTCTGAATCCACTTAGCTGATTCTAAATGTGACTGCACCTCCCCACCTCCAGCTCTGGTATCACTGCTGTCTCTAGCTGCCATCTTAAGGTCAAACAAATTTCCTTTTAACATCTGCTCTGCTAATGGCCAAAGCAGTTTTTGCAGACTATCCGGTGCTGCAGGTCACAAATTAGATTACATTTACTTTATGACTCAATTGGATGTGAACTCCGCTTTAATTTGGTACTTGTAATTATCCTGGGAGTCGTGTGACCCCCAAGAAGACGTGTTTTGGTCAACAACCACCTAACGCTGGAAGTACGTAACTGCACAGTGTCATTAATCTGTTAAGCCCATGTATAATGAAGAGGATTGAGGGGGGTCCTTTAAAATGTCCTCTCCATCAAGTGCAATCCACTTAATGGAAGAGCCTGTTCTGAGGAAAAATGGCCATTTAGAAATGGGTGAGAGGAGAAGAGAGAATAAGAGAGCGACAGAGGAGGGTGAGCCAGAGAATTAGTAAGAGACAGGCATGCACACACACATGTACCCATCTTCTCTAAATATCCTCCACCACTTGTCTGAGTGGCCAAATGAGCTGACAAAAGTGGATTAAAGCAGCACTATATTTAATAACAGCTTGTTTCAGAGGACATTTGTGGGAACACACAGAGCTCGCTACAACCCATTTTCAAGTCTTATGAAATGCTATTATTTAACTTTATGAGTGGCATCCAGACAGAGGTCTCATAAAAATCCTGTCTCTGTTTGTTGAGATGATCCAGATGTGTTGGCAAAGGGTGTCCTCAATAGTTTTCTTCTATAATATGTCAGACAATAGTGAAGAGTGTCCATTTTCATTCCTCAGAGGCTAAGGTGATGTATTGTAATGTAACTGTTTCTTACGTCTGACCATTAGTCTAAAACCCAACTGTATTCAGTTTACTATCAGATCCTCACATTTACGAAGCTGTATGAAAAAATATGAATTTTTTCCTTTGAAAAATGAATGAATGGACAATTATTAAACAAATTAGTTGCCAGTTAATTTTCTCTCAATCTATCATTCCATTAATTGACTTAAACATTTCATCACTACCTTCAAGTGACTTTAATCCTGAGCACTCCTGTGATGTTTCACTCCATGCCCCAATTATAACTACAGCCCCAATTACCTTTATTACTTGGCACACTTATTGATCTTTCCTATTCTTTAAATCCAGAGAGACCAATTTGGATTTTAAAAAAGCATCTCTTCGTTTCTGTGCATAAAGCTGGATTTTCTGTTGCTGAATTTCATCAGCTCATCACACATTTTCAGTGTTGTATGACTACTAAAAAGTAAATTTCATTTTCAACCCATTTTTTCGCGACTAATCTGCCTATCTGCTGTTACTATGTATAATACACTATCAACACTTTTACCTTACAATCACCAGTTCTTGCATTCAGAAAGAGCCCTTTGTGCAACTGTCTGTGCAAATAATCCAATTACGGGTAAATGACTTAATAATGCTAATATTAATGAAAACATTAAACTACATTATTTGATAAGCCCAGTGGTGATGAAGGTCATGATTTTCTCAAAGAATATTCTTGTATACCATGTCTTGCAATTTGCCCATGGCAAAGATTCTGGCCAATGAGAAGCACAACAAATCCCTCATTACCCCCCTGTCATATTAATCTTGTCTGAATGGGGCTAAAGAAACACTAATTATTAGACTCCCTAATATGTTTGAACTTTCACAACAGTGTTTTTTTTAATCATGAGTAGAGAGATGCTACTATTGCTTCGGTGCATCACTAAACTTTAACTCCATTAAACATCAAATGAATCAGGGGATTGCTGCTTTCTTACATCAGAATTGGAGATAAAACGTCTCTCTAGGACTGAATTGGGGCAACAGCCAGCTCAATAACACTGGTGCTGTGTTTCTGTGTTGCATGGGGGATCAGCACACCGAATGTGTTGGCCTTAATCAATAATAAAGTGATAGGGGAAGTTGTGTGCAATGACTAACTAGCCTAAGGCCAAAACAGCCGATGACTAAATTTGGTATGGCAATTGCCTCTAATTACTAATTAGCAGTCAACCGCATTAGATTCTTTGACTATAATACCTCCCAGTGGTTCAATTAAAGCCCAGCTTAATGAAATTAACAGGAGTGGGGGGAGGGTAATCGTGAATAAAGTTTTAATTTCTCCCACATCTGTTTGTAGAGCACCTAAATCTATTCGTTACCCACAGCTTAATGAGCCAATATAAGGAGGACTGTTTGCATTTTAGTGCATTAGCTGTGTGTTTCCAAAAACTCCTGGTTATGGGATTAGTGCAACTGTCTGAGAGAGCAAACAATATGTCACAAGGCACAGTGAACACTGAGCAGGAGATGTTAAAGAGTTTGATGCTACAGCCATCTTGTGGTCGAGGCCATGTATCACACCAAGAGCAAATGCAGTAAAACTGGATTCAGATGCATGTAGCCCTGCTGATCACAAGGTAGCGCCAGAGATAATCAATCACAAACACTGCTGCTCTCTCAGTGGCACTTATGAAGAGTGACTGATTTGTAGCCTGAAGAGCCTGTAGCCTTGTCTTTATGTGACAGTGTTGTGAAGTAAAGCTTTATAAACATCAGTAAATACTATCTGAATGAGCTGTACTATTACGTCAAACACAGATGTCACCTACAAGGTAGTCATAGCGACATCCTCAGTGTGGTTTACTCTCCCGGTAACGGGCCACTCAAAACATCATTAGTAGAAAAATCAATATGACTAATGAGAGATGTTCTAAACAGAAATCAAAGCCTAGTTAGTTTGGAAACAAACACAGAACAAATGTGGCCCGCAGCACTTCAATTAAAACAAAAGGAGGACGACCTCAATTAAGGCTTTTTCATCCAGGCTGCCCCTAATCCACCTATAAAAAAAAATCACTTCCCTCTAGAGCTAAATCTACAAAAGCTCTTTGCCAAGCTTATTATTTGCACTTAAAAATGATTAAAGCAAGGGGAAATCCAGTACGCAATTTCCACATTTCAAAAGGAAGGTTTTTGACTCTTGAGATTCAAATGTAGAAACTTTTTGTCAAGCCTTGTTGAGGGTGGCAGATTGTTACAGATGCCCGTCCCCGCCAAGTCAAGGTTTCTTAGGGTTAGTGTTCTACACAGAGCTTGACAACTGCTGAAACGGTATGTCGAGATCACATTGCTATTTGACAGATCTGGCCTTCCATCAGAGGCTACTATTCATATTTTAATTATGAAGTGGTGGGTGAAAACATTCTACTAATGACAACAAATAAATTAATTCATCTTACTTCTCTTCCAATTGCTCGATGGGATTAGTCAAGTTGATAGTCTCCATGGTGATCTCCACTTTGCGGACGCTACCAAAGAAATCTGTGATGAGGACACTTCCAGGGTCCCTCAGGAACAGGTCGGTACGGTGGCCCGGAGTGGACACGCATTGACTCTTGGGACACACTTTGAACTGGGAAAGCAGAGAAACCACAAATGGTGCGTTAGGAATACACAGCTTATTGCAACAGATAGTGTGAATACAAAAAACTACGCAAAAGTTAGGGGCTCCAACAAAAACAATTATATGTTTTTATTTGTAATTATATACAAATATTAATACTGTAGATATCTACTAATGCTGCTTTGAGGAGGTTAAGCTAAAAGGTTAGAGTAGGTCTCTTTTAATACTCAGACAATAGTAAATAGTTTGTCATCTCCTTTTAATACCACTAATAGTGAGTTGCAACCTGTAGCCAGCTGCTTCAAGTCAGAACTGCAGTGGGAGGTGTTAAAATACATGACAATGAGTGGAGAAGATTAGAGGCATAAAGCCTGACATTTGTGCATGTCATCATCAATTACAAATCTTTTGGTGCCTGGCGTGTAACCACTTGTGGATTAATCCTCTTAAGTGTGTGATTCATCAGTGTGTTGTCCGACTGGGTTCTTCATTTTAACAGAGAAATAAAATCATTAAACCGAGGTGAACATTATCTCTTTCAGCCAAAACACACAATTGCTAAAGGATTTTGTAGGGAAGGTGGAGGCAATCTGAGTATCATCAAAGGGCGAGCCTTTGCAGTCCAGATTAAAAAAAGAAAAACTTGGTGGGCTTGTCAGAGAAATCCATAGCATTGATCCTTAAATCTACCAAATAGCACAGGAACAAAGAGAGCATCTTCAAAAACAGGAAAATTAAAAAAAGAATACTAATTGATTGAAGCTGAACTGCGTCCCTGAGTAAGGATTTGAGGTGTTTTGATTGTAACTCCAGGTGAGGTTAAGGTGGGGTAGGTGGTGGGGATGATGAGTGGTCCCTGGGGCCAGTGGATCTCTGCAGGAGTGTAAAAGATGAAAAGGGAGGTGCTGCTGAGATTGAGGCATGGCCTGGAGCAGCATGCACTCACCATCTCCGCCATTATGTGTTAAAGGCCAACAACCTTAACACAGTATCAGACATTCTGTTTTAAGTGCAGAGTCCTGTGTGACTTTCATCTGGCTCCTTTAGGATGAGAAACCTTATAATGCGAGACAGACAAGAAGGGCAGAGCAGGACAGACACTGTCTCACTGTGGTAGAGGTAAAACAAAAAAAAAAAAAAAGAAAGTCTCCCTGCCACAGTCCTGCATTAATAATTGCTGTACTCTATGGCTGCAACTAATGAGTATTCTATGATGATTTTTTTTCTCCTGATTAATCAAATGATTGTTTAATCTGTAAAATGTCAAAAGATAGAAAAAATACAGTTTCTTAAAGCCCAAAGCGATGTATTAAAACTCAGAGAATCATTTCATTTACCATGACGCAAAACAGAAATGCAGCACCTGTGAAATTTGGTATTTTGCTTAATAAATGATTCAGTCAATTATATTTGATTATCAAAACTGTTGTCGATTAAGTTTCGGTCAAAGATTAGTGCATGTGATCCAATTATAACGATTTATTGAGCAAAAATACAAAACATTTATTTTTCTTTGTTTACATCATTAATATAACTTGGATATCTTTGGTTTTGGACTGTTGGTTAAACAAAAATTAAAGCTGTCATCTTGGGCTCTGGGGAACTGAATAATGACTAACTGATAATGAGAATGAACGTCAGCTGCAGCTTTATGGTACACATGAACTCTCTGATGACGCTAGGTAAAAGAAAATGAACACAAGCACACACATCCTCACCAGGTCATTCATGTTGGTTTTGCTCGCAGGATGGATGTCCTCCAGGAACTCCAGCAGGTAGAAGGTGTAACGGTCCATCAAATGGACTCCGATGGCCAAATCTGGCTGGTGCTAGAAAGAGATGGGGTTAAAAAAAAAAAAAAAGACGTGAGAATAAGAATATTAAATATCCAACAGCATATTGTCAGCCCAGGTGCTTTGGTGGCATTTTTAGTTTTGTTTCAAAACTCATGACAAGGAAAACAGTTATGTACCTCAACCACAAATACTTCATTAAAGCTGCTGAACAAACAGAGATATTCCAAATATTGTTTTTACTGTATATAAGGAATTACGTCAGTGACAGGTTGCCATAATGAGTAACGGCCATCACATTAAAGTACAGGGTGGTCTTATCTTTTAATGCTCTCTAGAACAGTGCTTTTATATTCATTTACAGTCATGCTTCTGGCCACCTGGAAAATCTAAGTCCAATATTCACTCTCTACCAACTCCTGAGGGAAATATGTGGCTCTCTAGCTGCTAATTGCTCCGCTATGTTCACCAGCTAGTCTCCAACACTGTCTGCCGTTTGGTGCTGAGCAGGCAGTGTACAGTGAGTTTTTTTTGCTCACACAGTGAGAGCAGTGAAGCTGAGCCAAAACAGCAACGTTGTGAGCCGGACAGCTAAACAGTGAGCCGAGACTCATACTGTGTAAAGGCTCTGTAAAGTCAAGGGGAGCTGCAGATTCAGGTGATAATTCTCTGTAGATCTGGTTCATCAATACTAGCAACCCTTGCCACACGTTTGATACATTGTTATAAAAAAAAAAAAAGAAAATCCAAATTATAGCTGCTTTAACAGCTTACACAGTAATAGCTGTACAGTCAATTGACACTTTGAGTTGAAAGAAGACGCAATTATTTGTCTTTAAAAAAACCCAGCTGAAGCGAACTTAAACTTATTCCAGAAATTGTAAATAAAAGTACCAAAGAATTGTTAGTGAACAAAATAAATGAAGTTCGAAATCACTCCCTCATTCACTACTGGATACATAATATACAATCAATTGTGAGCAGTGAATTGAGATTTCGAACATGTCGCATTACATTACTCGTTTCATTCTAGTGTTGAATTTTTGAAGGCACTATGTCATGAATACCTTTACAAACAATCCATAATTCAGACACTCAGAAAGACCAAGGGTAATTGTGGTGAACTATAGTAAATGAGGAGTGACTTGTAAACGTATTTGTGAATGTATTTATGAAACATGTTCATGTAGAAACTGAACAATATAACTCACTATTCATTTGACCCTTTGCTGTTGTTGTTATTGTGCTAAAAGACTTAGGGTTAAAGCTGCACGTCCTCACCAGTTGACGATTCAAGTAGAAGACATGGAAGTAAAAGAGCAGCACTGTCTTGTGTCGCAGTGTAGATTTCGTCTTAGTATTGATAGAATAATAAGGACGATCACACCACTATAATCGTAATAATAAACCTGGCACTTCATCTTTGGAAAGGGTAAGTTTGTCTTACGGGGCGAATCACTCAAGCTTGGTCTTCAGCTGCAGTGTGCTATCAAACCTCACAGCTTATTAGAAAACCTGACAAACTGATTGATGATTTTTCATTTATCTCGTCCTCATGAGGGCAGGTAACTCACCGACAGGGAGTCTTCTCCAACTTGACTGCTGGCCAGAGCCATGAGGTTCGGAGAGTAGAACCTCTCATACATAGAGGCACCCTGACAGGTGTCAATGATGAAGAGCAGCTCATTGTACCTGGAGACACACAGACACAGACACAGACACAGACACAGACACAGACACAGACACAGACACAGACACAGACACACAGGATTATGTACATTCTCAAACAAAACAGATGAGAGAATCCACAGCTGGCATAATATTCATCCATTTGTTCGAATAAACTCCAGTGTCACACAAACCCTCTCAACATCTTTCATGCTGCAGTTGCCATGGTGACCAAGAAAAACCAACAGCTCCATTCAGCTCCTCTTACACACCCACACATACACACACATGCACACACACACACACACACACATAGTTTCACCCCCCACTCTTCCTCCCTTTCTTCCTCTATTAAAGAGAAATTTCCCCTGCTTCAGACAAACATGATGAGATTTTTATATCCAGTCAACTGAAACAACATGGTTTGGGGACAATGAGGTGAGGTGGCAAAGTCTCTATAGTGGCTCTAATTTGGCGGTTCAAGCCTGCAATTATCGCATCAGCATCAAAGCTGGCGTCACTAAGCTTTTATCTAGCAGCCTGGGGCTCGACTATAACCCAGATTCTATTGATAGGTTTGAAGGACAATATAGGTGCGGGAAGCTGAGAATCTGCTTTAGTTCATTTAGTGTCTAGCAATTCAAAATTTAAACACTGCACCTTGAACAGTAACACAATTCCATTCATGAAAAGAGACAGTTCCTCCTTCATAGGAGGTTGTGTTATTATATGTATAATAGTAATTCCCTTACAGTTTGAGGGATATATGATGTGTTTCATCTGTGGAACTGACTCAAATTCAACACCGTTTCAACAGCAAACACTGACAGTATTTTGTTCAATACAGTATTTATATAAAGCTGTTATAATCACTATTTTTACATGAACAATGGATTTAATTAACTTCTAATTCAAAAGGGTTCCCTCGTAGTGATGAGCCCACAGACATTTCCCCTCAGCTCTGCGGAGCCTTTCAGCACGGTAATATTTTACAGCCTGTATCTTAATTGTTTTGGTTCACCCACACCACCGTCATCGGCTTCGTTTCCAGCCACATTGTTCATGTATAACACTTTTTGTTATTAACAACATAATTGCACTGTAAAGGCCATTCAAGACCAGTGAATCAGGTCCCCCTTTGGCATCACTTTTGGGTGTGGTTACGTGCATCAGAGCACACCTCTGCTCAGATCCAACCATTCTCCTGCTTCTGGGTGTTTAGAGACACAAACTCCCTTTCCAGCAGAGATGACAGTGGACCAACATTTTTCAGTCTGGTGATAAGTTGCTCTTAAACAGCTCTGCATATAGAATATACAGTTTGCACTCACTCACCAGGCAGTACAATAGAACCTATAGACACTGGCTTTAAAGCAAAAGTTAAGACCATCCTTAAAAACCTGGTTTCACTGGCCTTCTCTGGTTTAAAGTTTAATGTCTGATGCACCTCTGACCACATTCCACAGTGATACTGAACTGTGTGTCACCGTGTACTGATCTCCCCACAGCAACAAGAAGAGAATTTCAAACACTTTGTCCTTGAAAAAAATCCACATTTTTGCAGGAAAGCACAGCTGCAGCCGAGTGCTGTAAATGAGAGAATCAACAAACACTGTGCACTTGCACAGCGAGTAGAGCGTGAGCAAAGAGCAGCTACTAGCATTGAACAGCTAACTGGCCCTCATGGGAAAGAAAGACCAAGTCAAGTGGACTTTCAATAGAAGAGACACAATAGGGGATGTTATTTTTGTGAAGCCTTTTTCTTTTAAATCATTTATGTTTCTTGCCAGTTTTTTTTTTTACCTTCTTTTCTGCCACATCTGCTCAAAAGCATCAGCCAGTTCCACATTACTAATCTCCTCAGAGTCCTGGAACTTCAGGAAACCATTCCCGCCATGGCCTGTTAAACAAACACATATTATTAATAATTCATTAATCTCTGATTCATAATTCAAAAATATCCTATGGACTGCAAAATAACAAGAAACATGAAAAGGGCTGGCAGCCGTGTGCACTGTGTGGGAGAAGCAAACGCGGTAACATTCAGCCACAGATGAAGATGATTAGGAAAACGGACTCTTTCAACTAAATATATAAAATATATATCACAAGAGTGAGGAGACACATGTGACTTTCTGAAAGACACTACAATATGAAGTACTGAGCATGAATACGTGGTAAATAATTGTCACTGTTTCAGGTCATCAATTTACAGCTTCTTCATTGCGGTCACCTTTAAAAAAGAATTTGTAGATAAAAAAAAAAAAAAAACCTTTGTCCTTTTACATTTCAATTGTGGTGAAACATAGAGTCCATCTCAAAACATTATAATAGTGTTTATTTCCTTATTTCACCTTCTGGACCAATATAATTGTTTTGTGGATATTTCCATACAGGACTAACCAAATGGACATGAAGTCACATTGAGACATGACTTAACGAATGCAGCTACAAGAAGGAGAATACTCCATCAACAGCTTAGTAGCCTGATATGCAGTGTAGTTCTACACAAGTTTACATCTGTCAGCACTTCTTCTCAACTAGGAAACTCTTGTTCTTACTATGTAGGGTTTCCTGCAGTGTTTTATAGAGGAGGTGGGTAACTTGACCTGAAACAAAGACCACCTTGGCTATCATGATAAAAGGTAGTTAACTGTAATATTACAAACCCATTAACCTTTAGGGGAAACGAGCAGAAGCGCCATTTCCCTCAACAACTGCCATAAATTTAATGAGAGTGACTATTGTTGAGGTCATACTCTACAAACTACAATGAAGACAAGACAAGATACGTCAAGATCTGAATGATTTGCTACCTTCGGAAAAATTATTTCCTGGTGGAAACCGTGCTATGATCTTGCTCTCTTCACCTTCACATATAAAAGAAAGCCATAAGGATTGTGTTTTCTTCCCTTTTCTGCAGATTGTTGAGAGGTGTAGGCAATGTGCCTTCACAGAAAATGAATCATAATGCTCCAATCATAAAATAGCTCCTAGCACCGAATATTACACACTCATTAAATTTAAGAGGAGTATCTGCCAGTGGATTTGTCCTTTAATTACCTGTCAAGTATATGAGGATGTTGCTGCGGTCATCAGAGAGGAGGCGTTTGGAGCGGGGAGTGCTGGGTGGAAGCCTTCCTGTCAAAACCCGCAAGAAATTCTCCACGGTTACCTGTAACACAGGCAGAATACAAAACTCGATTTTCATAACCTAGCATGAATGGGAAGTGATAAACGATTATTCAGGACTCTGGATTTAATAAAACAGCGAGGAGACTGTGACTGTCAAAAAGACAATATGATTAAACTTTTCATCTGCATCAGTAGAGTCAGTCTAAAGTGACAGACAAATATTTTTACCCTACTCCACTTAGCTTTTAATTAAACAGAAAATTGATTAACCGTTGTATTATTTCCTTCTTGCTCTCCGCTTCATCCTTATCAGTTTTTCTTGTGAATGATTACCATTTGACAGCAAACAGCGGAGTTTATTCATTTTTAAATAACCAGCACAAAGCAGAGTAAATAATCAAAAACAAACTGTGACCGAGAATGGAAAAGCCGGCGTGGCTCTGCCTTGGTCCATAACAAAAAAACACTTGGGTGCTCCTCTATTAAGGACTGAAATTACATCAAGTCATTTCCTGGTCAACAGACAGAGCAAACACTGGACAAACAGTGTGGACTATAACACATCCAATTCCCTGCAACACTTGTATATAATAGCTATCAAGTTGTGGTATATACTACTAAGTTTTTATAAAGAAGGTGGATAACTATACGGGATACCTCCGTCCACTAGTGCTGTGCAGTTGGCAAGCTATGAAAGTTACACATTTCAGATTTTAACTAACACTAGTCCACACTCCTTTACAAACTTGTTTCACACCAAATTCAGACACATATACAAAGTTTAAAAAGAAGACATGCTGCTTCAACTCTTGCAAATCGGGTAAGAATTTATTCAGTTTCCAATTTATGTCAACTAGTTCTGATCATTTATGTCAATTATTTTTCAGGCTTCAAGACACGGATGCTTTAGAAATTAGAGTGATCATTCCTTTAGACAGAAGAAAAGGCTCTGAAAAGTAGTAGGTTTAGGCAGTTTAAAGTTTTAATGTGTTAAGTTTTTAAATTCAAACAGATTTGAGTAAGACTAACTGATTTGCAGTTGTACATAATACAGTTGTGCGTTTAGCTGCCTGAGTGTAATGAGAACCAACCTCGTATCCTCTGTAGTCCACCTCCACATCGTCACCATACACATTCAGCTCCATGTTCTTGTGGCTAAACACTGTGGCGGGTTTGGGGTTTCTGTGGTTGCATGCCATATCATCGGCCAGCATCAGAACTATGTGGCTGGAGAAAGAGAAAATGACAAAGGTGATTTAAAGTTATTAAGTAATAAAATGAGTGGATGATATATAGGTACACATCATTAGTCTGACAATAAAACATTACAGTACATTTATTTGGCAGATACTCGCTGTCCAAAAAAAAAAAAAATGTTTTTCACATAAAACAAACAGTGTGCTCACAGAACTGTTAACTACAGTGCATTCAGAAATTGTTCAGACCCCTTCGATTTGTGCAAACTAAGCACCTTATAAATACAAACTATTCAATACCTGTCTGTACTTTAGATTATTATCACCATTCAAAATCTAAAACTGACACAATGTATGTGACACACTAAGAAAAGCAGTTTTACCACAGTTACCTGTCAGGGATGCCCAGCCTCTTAACACTTCTATACACAGACAGAGTATTGGCCACATGACGGTAGTTGAACCAGAATCTGGATGTGCACACCTGAGTATCAAACATGGAGGACGCAAAAGAGAGAGATGCCAGTTAATTAGACTGCCAGTTAAAAAGACTTTGCTGCTGCCTTTTTAATGCCAAACAAATCAATCAGCATGTCCCCTAGCAAAGATGTAGCATCAATTCATACTCACCAGAACAGCCCAGTTGTTAGTATGACCACTGCTAAAGAACTGCCCCGCGTTATCCTGAGAAACAAGTGAAAGAACATAAATAAATGTACATGTGTTATATGGTCATTTGAATAAGCTACCAGGCGTATCACCAAAACAGCAGTTAACTGGCTAGCACAGAAGGCTAACATGGAAACGGCATTTCAGGTAAAACTCAACGTGCAACACACAAATAGGCGGGATATTGGAGCCACATGCAAAAAATATGCACTCACCTCGATATTGAGGCTTTCCGCTAACAGGTATGTGGAAAACAAGCTGAGGAAATTAAGTATTTTCATTGTGCAGCAGTGTTAGCAGTGTGCATCTAGGAAGTGAGAATCGGTGGCTCCGCCCAGTATGTACTTCCGGTAGAAGACATTTCAAAATAAAAGTTTCGGCGTGGAAACTTTTTTGACAGGTAGAAAAAGGACTTGTCAAGGTATCACGTAGCTGCTCCTTCGTCATACGCCAAGACATTTTATGGCCGAGCGTGGAAATCATCACTATTAAAAGATGTCACTGACATATAGGCATACTGTCAATCATGAAACACTGTAAGTTTGTCCCTTTGGTGATGATTTATTTATTGTTTCAGAATAAAATTGAAAATGGCTCGGTAGAATATATACTTTTTCTCTGCTGTAGCCTAGTACATGGTCATACCGATACCCATTACATACAGTGCCCATATACAATGAAGGCTTGCTCAAACCTTGTGCAAGAAAGTAGTAAAAACAAATGATGGATACACAAAGAGTATTCAAAACACAAATACACCTACATAGATATATGCTATAGTTTCAAGTGAAAGAAAAACAAATACATAAACATGCAAAACTTTTTTAAGAATTATTATACCAACGTAGATCATTTACCCCTTTGTACCTGTATAGGTATGCACATGTAATGATATACATTTCTAATTACATTTCTAAAAGGCAATTTGTCACCACCATTGCTCTGAATTCTGAATTTACACAAATGCCCACTGAAAACAAAAACTATATTTTGTTTTCTAAAATATGATTTTTTTTTTTCTGGGAAAACGTGTGAAAATATTAAGTATTTCTAATGCAATATTGGTGGCTCAGTGCTGATAAGACTTCTGAGACTGAGCAGTAGCAGATTCATGTGGTTCTCGGATGTTGCTGCCTGTGTATGAAAGACATTGCATGGAGAGTATTCCTGTGGGAGTGAACAAAATCAGGAGAATAAAGACATATATTAATGTCAGTACTGCAGATATAGAATACTGTAGATGCGTTCACTGGGATATCACAGGACAATTATTTTATAGAATTGCAAATTGGATTTAGTTCAGCATGTTATTTGATTTTAACAGACTGTAGCAAATGTGTTATATTACTGCAAGGCCACCAAATAGTCCTCTAAAGAGTCATGTCTCCCTCTTTTGTTTCAAGTAATCAATTTGGCAACATTTTTTCTTTGTGACTGCCAGTACAAAGACAGATAATGGCTTTGTCCTGTATGTTTCATTGCGGTATTACAACAGACTTGTGTGATTTTGCATCGTGTGGCAATTAATTAATGTTTATGTATGATACTTCAGTGGTTACAGTAAACAGCTGACCACATGGTAATTAAGCAAATCATCATTTGGTCAGATATACACATTGTGTATATCACACATAATACACATTCAAATGCCCTGTCCAGCTAAATGGTATGGGCCTTAGTAATGAGAAGTGACATGGATATCACAGGTAGCAGATGTCAAAATGCATGTCATGTTAAAACTGAAGTAGCCAAGTGTCTGGGATCCCTGTAGTAAAGTGAAGCCATGAAAAAAATCCTTCATGCAATTCTAATGTAACACTACAGCACGGCAAGCAGACGGTCTGCTGGAAAAGCAGCATCCAAATCTGTTTTGACACACAGCAGGGCGCCTTTCCAGGTCTGCCATTCACTTTAATCCCGCGAACGTCTCCTGTACTTCTGCTGCTTTTCTGACCCACAGCATCACTCTCTTTGCCTGCAGAGCTCATCACAGTAATGTCCTCCTCCAAATGCATCACATTAGAAAAATGAAAAAGCCAAGCATGGAGCTCCAACGAAACAGTTCTAAGTTGCATAAATCGTTATTCCATTTCCAATCCATGAATTAGCATTTTACTGTCCTTAACTGTGACTGATCTTGGTCATGCATGAAATGTTATTCAGATAGAATGGTCCTGCTAACACACTCATGTTGCTGAACTAATCTAATGTTGTTCTGTGATATAACAAGGAGACTCAAAGTCAGCGTTCCAGTTGTCAAGAGGATTAGTGGTCTATAAGGATCAAATCCTATGGGACAAACCAGGAAATCAAACTGGCCTAGGGTTAGGTTAAGGGTTATTCCTGGGTTGCCTAAGAAAGCCTTGATTGTGTGACCAGTGGAATTTACCTTTTGCTGATCTGTTTGTTTCTATGTATAACCCAAAGTAAAGACATTGTTATGCAAGTTAAGAGCCTGACCTGCAGCAAAACACCTGCAGAAAGTTGGCGCTGAATGTCTGTTAAAAACATTATGCACTATACAGCCTGTAAGACATTTCATCAAGTACTTTTGAGGCACTTTGGTTGTGTCGATGAGGCGATAATAAAGTGATTTAGGTCACATTGGTTTTAATCAAAGATAAAACTTAAGTCTGAACTTTTTTTTTGTCAACAACAGCTTGACAAAAAAGAGGAATGAAATACACTGAAGAAGTTTATGAGCGGTAGATGGACCTTGTGTTGATACTTTTTCATCAAGTGTCAGAGAGGGTGAGGTGCAACTTTGTTGTTTTCTGATAGTGAAAAGCCAAAATTAAATAACTTTCTAAGCACCCACAGGAAGATCAAGTTAACTTATGTTTATCACTGAAGGGGTGGAAGTATTCACACCATTTACTAAGTACAGTACTAGCAAAACTACAAAACAAAAGAAAGAAATACTCCATTACAAGTAAAACTATTGAATTCAAATTTTATTTAGCACCAGTACAGAAGCATTAGCAACAAAATACTTAAAATACCAGTAGCGAAAATACTAGTAATAAAGAATGGTTCCTAAAGTGTCAGATTATGGTAGAGTAGAGGAATAAAGTAGCATTAAATGGAATCATTCAAGTACAGTAAAAGTTCAGTGCTTAAGTAAAAGTACTTGGTTACTTTCCACCACTGTGTCACTATAGCGCACCTCATGATCGTTTCACAACCGGTCTCCATGCTGACGGTGAAAAACAACTCGTAGAGGCTGTGCGTGCGTATTTGGCACACACAGCGCGCGCAACCTCTGTGCCAACGTTGAGGCGCGCGCGCGCACGCACACACACACACACACACACACACACACACACACACACACACACACACACACATACTGTGCGTGGTGGAGGCAGAGCGCTGCAGGAGGGAGGACGGACGAGCCACGCATCCGCATCACCGAGGAGGGTGGCGCGGTGGCACTGCCTGCAGGAATCCAGTTGTAAAGTCCACACACGAGGCAAAAATGCGCTGAGGGGAAATCTGTCTGGAGCTCGGTTGTTAACCAAAAATTACCTCACGGCACTGAGACATCAGAAGAGGGAGAGAGAGAGAGACGGAGAAAGAGAGAGAGAGAGAGAGAGAGAGAGAGAGAGAAAGAGAGAGAGAGGGGGAAACGAAATCCGACTGGAGATGAATACCAACGATGCCAAGGAGTATCTCGCACGCCGGGAGATACCTCAACTATTTGAGGTGAGAGATGGTGTGCTGTGCGCTTTGTGGGTTGAGATGACCGGACTACAGTACGTGCAGATTTGACCGTGTGTGTGTGTTTTACATCGATGCATCGCAGAATGTTGCAGAACGCATGTCAGAACAGGGAAAATATAATTTTGTGATATGAAGTACATCTCCTCTACTCGAGTCTGTCTGAAAGCATATTTCTAGATTAAATAGTAGTTCAAATAAGAAGGTGAAACCCTGGGGATTCATAATTCTTACAAAGTGCTCCCTAAAATTGTTTTTATAGTGCTATATAATCATAATTAGAGTCAGAGTGTAAGGGTAATTAAACCAGGCAGACCTTCCTCTGCTCCTGCGTAATTCGCTTTTAATTGCGATGCTCACAGCGGGAAACATTCTTTTATCATGAAAAATGAAAATTAGTCTAAGTACTGTGACAGAGTGGCTACAAAAAAGAATATTAAAAGTTCATAATACATTTTAGAAGTATTAGGGAAAAAATGATAAAACATGATAATTTGACTCTTAACTCAAAATATAATGATGTATGTGTGAAGACATGAAGGTATCCAGTAGCCTATGAGAGGTTGTCTAGAAATGAATTCTCCTCTAAACACTTCATTAATAGTTATAGGAATATTATACTATCAAAGTTAATGCTATGAACAGACACAGTGTGAGGACTTACAGGAATATAATAATGCAATATAATATTCATTTTCCTGAGGGGATAGTTAATTGGCTCATCCACTTAATTAGACTAAGTTCTGAGTGCAGTGCAGCTAATGTATGCAAGCAATCACTGCTTGTTTATTTACAGCCAGTCGAAATTACATTGATCGCTGAAGTGACACATAATCATCATAACTGCAGTGTCATTTTACTGCTCACAATTGCTGCTCACAGAAAAGCCTATTCATTATCGATCAGCTCAATAAGCACCTCACATTGTTTTCGGCTGGGAGAGGCTTTGTGTTTTCATGCTGCTGGCGGTGGACGCTGTTAGTGAGGAGGGTGGAGATGAAGTCCCAGAGGAAGGTATTGTTTTTAAAACATTCAGGGTCAAGGGGACAAATGTCACGCAAACACACACTTGACTTGTCTTTTGGCACGGAGCGCGTTCTCATATCCATCACAGCCACTGGGCTTTTCCTCCTCCACGAAAAAATAACAGGTCGCCGGAGTTCTGTGTTTATTTGGCCGGGCTGAGTCCAATTTCACGGGCATCTGACAAAGTGAGATGTTTTGTTCCCCCTGGTGGAGCCAAGGCAAGGCAACGAGATCTGCACTTCAGAACTTCGCCTCATTCAGGCGGGCTGTTCTCCTGCCGCCACTCTGTCACAGCACAACACATCATTACAGAGACCTCCTCCTGCTCGCCCTTATTCTCCCTCTATATCTCATCACGTCCACCTCCACTGTTTTTTCCAGAGCCTGCTGACAGGTTTGATGTACTACCGGCCCGATGACCCCATCGACTACTTGGAGGGCTGTCTGAAGAAAGTCAGGGAGCTCGGAGGACCGGACAAAGTGCGATGGGATACATTCGTGGGGCAGGAGAAGAAGTCCCTTCCCCCTCTCAACGGGGGCCAATCACGCAGGTCCCTCTTCAGAAATGGTGAGCAGTGAGTACAGTAAAGCAAAACACATATGAGCTGAAAGAAATTTTAATCAGCAACAATTTTAATAACCGATTAATCGTTTAAGTTTTGTTTCAAGCTAAAAAGAATCCAAACTTAACTAGTTCCAGTCTCTTAAATGTGAAGATTTCCTGCTTTAGTTTGACAGTAAATTTATATATATATAAATTCTGTAATTGTTACAGATAAAATAGGACACCCTATCAGATTTATCTTTTCTGACATTTTACAGACTAAATGACAAGGTTTTCTTCAGAATACAGGTAATAATCATTAGTTGCAGCCATAAAACAGAGTCAATGCAACACCTTCACTCTGTTTCACCCCATTATGTTTATGGCAGAACTTCTGTAACTGGGGGCAAAGAAAAGGTAAAAAAAAAAAAACATATATATATATATATATATGTTTTTTTTTTTTAGTTGTTTTTGGTGATCTGCTTCTTTCTAAGAATGCTGGCAGCAGTTTAACTTCTTCTGTTACACAATCAGGAGCACACTCACTCAGTGTTTGAACAGGAAGGGGTGTTAACATTTACCCTATAACCTCATGAGCCTAATTGTAGCTACACTGTTTAAACTGTTGCACTACTCTAGAAGAGTTTTAGAGCGAGATGAGAAAGGAGGCTTTTTTTCTCCTGATACGTACAGTGAGAAGTGCAGCTGTGTGCATCACCTCTCTCAGATTTATTTAGTTTCCTAAACAGTGCCAGAAGCATCTGTTGGGACACCAGAGCACCAAAAGGCAGCCCCCCTTCTGCCTCCAAACCACTGACATGCAAAACTTGGTTTGAATTTGCAAAGCAAAGTTCTCAACTACAGCTCTTTATTACTAAAGACGTTTTCCCATATGCCTTGTTTTGTTACATCTGTTTTAAATTTGGACATTCACTTCTTTGTTTGGTGATGCGAGTGAAGCAGGGCAGCAGTGTACACAGCTACTGACCGTGAGACTGAAACAGAACAGAGTTATGCATGTGCGAGTAAAATTTGAGTTAACAGGCAGATCACTCACACCATGCAAATGCACAGATAGAGTCAATATTTATAAAACAGAAGCCTCCACAGTCATAAAAATGACTCAAGCTGCATTTGGGACAGAATCCTGCGTTTAGAAATTCAGATTTGTGTTGCTTCTTGTAATAATGTGGCAAAGATGCCTGTAAACTTTGCCAGCTGCAGAGTTTAGGTGCTGAACTGCAGCCTAATTGGGGTTAGAGATTTCCCTGTGCTGTGATTCTCGTCTCGACTGATAGCTGAAGCTCAGATCTTTCATATTTTAAATTGTTTGCTGGAAGGAAATGCTGCTCTAACTTCCTAAATGTGTTTTTCTGTTGGCTTGATTCGTTTGTTTAGAAATGTCATTAGGGCAAAAGTAAACCCTTATATTCTGGCAGCTGTTGCAGCATTAGCTGTAATGTGCAACCTCCTCCAGTATTTTTCCAAATTGGTTTCATCTTAACAAGACCAATGTTTTGTTTTTTGCTCAGTTCTCTTCAGATTCAACGAAACTTCCATTTCCATCAATGGTGCATTTATTGTCATCTGATCAATACCATTCTCAGCGCTGTAATTTATAATGGAGCGTAAAGAGATAATATTGGTGCTACATGTAAATCATAGCAGTTCTGCTCCCTTGGAATAGCATGCAATGATGACTTCGATCTTTGCTGAATGTGTCATATATCAATACTTACATCATAAGAGGGAGCTGTATAATTGCCAAACTGAATGAACCGTATCTGTTTGTTTTTATCACACTAATGAATTTATGGAAATCTCACTGTCTGATGGTTAAAACCGGCACCACATCTTGATTGGCAGCAGTTCAAATAATGTGACAGCTGTACCTATAAATTGACTGACAGCATGAAATTACAGCACAGTTTGTTCTCATTTATACCTTTTTATGTGTGTGTCTGTGCGTGTGCAACAGTGTTGCCCGACAGCCCCAATTTTCCCTACAGACGCTACGACCGCCTCCCTCCCATCAGCCAGTTCTCCATCGAGAGCGACTCAGACCTGTCGGAGACAGCGGAGCTCATAGAGGAGTACGAGGTGTTTGACCCATCAAGACCACGGCCCAAAGTCATCCTCGTCATCGGTAAAGGACCAGTGCAACACACAAAAAACACACATAATCATAAAAACCATAAATACTTCCACCTTTACACAACACAAGAATGAGGAAATTCTGAGGCAAAAATGAAGGACGATCTATTTATTATCTTTTCTACTGATCTCTCTGGTTGGATCTGAACTTCTACTGAGTCATGTTTTCCATTAGATAGGACAGACATAAGAAGACATTTGTGTGTAAACATAACAAAACAAGCACCCAGCGTCTCTTTATTGCTTCTGATGAGAGTTTTAGCCATGTATATAAAAAGATCAACAAAAATCAAAATAGAAGTTTATATTTGCTTCACTGATGATCTAAAAATACATGGCCTGGATGGGAATCTACGACTCAAGGAGTGTGTGTGTGTGTGTGTGTGTGTGTGTGTGTGTAGCGTATGTTTTTCCTGGTGATTTGAGTGTAGCCCCACCTCTCTCTGGTAGTATCAGCGGGGGAGATCTTGTTGCATGTCACTCACTGTGTTAGACACTCACGCTCTCCTAATCTGATTTCCTTGATGGGCCTGCATTAACCTGTCAAATACATTCATTAATCTTATGAATTAAGCACGGCAGCTGCTCAGAAAGAGTAATGACACAGGTTTAGCAGGACCGAAAAAGGGCTGCTATTTATAAACCCTTATAAAAATAGTTTATTTCAGGTTTTATATAAGCAAGAAAAGAACTTCAGTGTCTGATAAAAGCTTTCAAAAGACCGTCTGACAGCCTTCTGCTACAGCGTGTTTTGCTTTTAGTGTGTACCTGGGATGTTCACACTGTCGATGCGTGTGGATGATAGTTATTTGTCCTTGCAGCACAAAGCCACTTCCTATCTTGTCTTTGTGAGCACATTGTGCCCTATTTTAAAGGGAGAACAGGACGACAGCAGCTGTCATCTCTTTGGAGGATCATGGCAAATGTTTTGTCTGCCAGGTTCGCAGAGAGAGAGAGACAGAATGACAAAGACACGTGTGCTCGGGAGGAGGCTGGGAGGGGACCGGGCATGTTGAGCATTACAAAACACAAAGATGTGAGATAAAGTGCACATTTTGCTAAATACATATTCACATAGACATTCAGACATCAGATATTATGTTATTCCGCCCACCCTTTCTCGCTTCTGCAAAAATTTGTCAGAAGGAATTATAATAGAAAAACACTGGAGTAATTAATATGAATGATAATGGCTGCATTCCATTTGGATGTGCTAGTTCGAGGGTGCTAAAAAGGTCTGTCATGAAAAATGTGTCCCATTCATTTCTCTCATATATAAAAATTCAATTTGAAAAAAGTCTCAGCTTTGAACCTAACCTAGTTAAAATGAATCACAGTTTTATGATAATATTCTTAGACACAAGGTCAGCATGAGTGGTGCTCTCTCGTGCGTTAAATATGAAGCTACACCCAGGAGACAGTTAGCTTATCTTAGCATAAAGACTGTAAACATAGAAAATAAGCTACCCTGGCCATTTCAAAATCCATCAACATATCTAAAGCTAATGTTGTTGTGCCTTTGGACAGAGCCAGGCTAGCTGTTTCCCCTATTTGTAGGTTTTGCTATTGCTACATAGCCAACGTTAGCATTAACAGCTGTTTACTTACCAGTCTAGTTCGACCTTTATTCCCTCTCTCACCAAGAGCTGTCTCTAGAGGTGGAAAGCAATGCCAATGTTAACTCTTGCCCCTAGTAGTCTTTTCCTCTACTGAGGTTAGCATGCTAACTAGCTAGCCCCTGCAGATCTCGTCACTTTGCAATAGTGACTCATTGTATCCTCCAATCTGCCCTGAAGATGTAGCACTAATCAGAGGGTGTATTATAACCTCTTGTATTAAAAAGACAGCAACAATCACCACCACAAGAAACCATGTTCTGTGGCAGAGAAAACTTTCAACTAGCCCCTTTAAGCTAAGCTTCATATAGCTTCATGCTTAGCATGAGGAGAAGGGAGTATTATCAATCTTCTCTTTCAACTTTATGAAGAGGAAATAAGTGATTGAAGCCCCACACAACATTTTGTGATGATAATATTAAATTCTTACAAGTAACAATGTGAATAGCCCTATGCTATCAGCTGACAGAAAGTATATATTCAGCACGGTTGCACAGCTGCAGTTTTTCTGCTTTTCCACAGACCAAACAACCATGAACTTGACCTTAGCACAACTCTAAAAGCCTTAGTATGCTTCAAACAAACTAGGCTGTATGTGCTTGTCTGCCCACGTCTAAAAGCAAAAGTGTTTATACCGGTTACAAATGGCCACACTCAAAGTTGGGTGCCTTCATAGAGAGGAGCGAGACACAATTTTCAGTTTCTCATTCATGGTAAAATAGTTGTGTTGAGAATGAAACAAGAAACTGCGAAGGTAGCTCAGTCTATATTTACTTTCATACCTCTGCACATCCAGCCAGTCGCTGAGTAAAGTGACCATGACTGACAGACTGTCTGTTTCAGAAAGTAACAAACATTGTCAGACCCCCTTCCCACTCAATCTCTGACAACCACTTTGTTCAAAACATGCAGAGGCCTTAACCCTAACTGTAAATCCTTTAAATCCTGATTATTAATCCCAGTTGTAAGGCAGACACTGGTCTGGATACCTGCAGGATACAGGCATCACTTGGAACTCAGCAAACCTTTTAGGGACACATTACAGTCACTTCGCTGAAACTTGCCTGTCAGAAATGGATGATCTAATTTGAATCCAACCAAATAATATATTTAACAATCACTGACTTGTAATGATTTTATTCACTTGGGTGCACACTCTTCTCCTCGTCCCTAAAAAAAACCATTTCTGACAGTAACGCCATAATGGAATAAATTACCAACGACACAGCTTGTTCTCTGACTAATTTCACTTCACTCTGGCCTGGCTGTCAACCAGGAGCGATTTTGGAGCGGTTGACATTTCTATGGTAACAGTAGCATCTCTGAAATCCTGGCATGAAATTCAATGCAGTTGTCTATCAGGAAAGCAGCATTCAAGTTGTCAGATGGCTTTCACAAGCAGTTACACAGGCCTTTCACAAACTGATGGTCCACACAGAATCAAAATCAAAATAATACAATATAATTTCAGAATATAAACTTTGTATGTTCTGATTTTTGATGGAATTATAATTCATTTGAATTCTGTTGCACTAAGATGGTAAGATGTTCAAACAGGAACTAACATGACATACAGGCTATTCATATTTCATATTTACCATACTATGCAGCATTAAGCCTTAAGAGCCTTAAAAGCTGTCTCCACGCGTGTTCTTTTTCCCGCTGAAATATGGAGAAAAAAGAAGAGGATTTGTTAGCAAATGTAGGAGGTTCACACATACCTGCCCGCCACACACACACACACACACACACACACACTCACACACACACACACACACACACACACACACTCACTCACAACATGCCCTTCTCCCCCGCACACACAAAACACACATAAGCAGTAACACACAATCACACACTAACACCCTCTCTCTCTCACACACACACACACACACACACACACACACACAAAGTCTCACAGTCTGGGATTCTCTCACACACATGTGCCTACGCTAACACACCCACACACATAATGTTTCACACTCACACAGATATATTTCACACACGCACACACGCACACACACACACACACACACACACACACACACACACACACACACACACACACACACACATTTTTCCTCCCAAAACATCAACAGCTCTCCCTCTGTGCCTAGGTGGCCCTGGCAGCGGCAAAGGAACACAGTGCCTGAAGATCGCTGAGCGCTACAGCTTCCAGTACGTGTCCGTGGGCGAGCTGCTGAGGAAGAAGATGATCCACAACGCCACCAGCAACAGAAAGTGGAGCCTGATCGCTAAAATCATCACCAACGGAGAGCTGGCACCACAGGTAGCAGAGGAACAGAGAAGGAGAGGGGGAGAGGGGGAGAGGGAATGGGGGGGGGGGGGTTTCTGTGAAAGAGGGGACAATATGAGACGGATGACTGATGAGTGCCGAGTGTATCCAGTCCCTCTCTGGTCATTATCGCAGCATGCCTGTAACAAGGGACCAATTAGCAGCTTCTATATCACAAGTGCGCTGGAGAGAGGGATGTTGTTCCGTCTTATTAGCGTCCTTCTTTGCAAGATAATTAATCTGGCTGAGAGGAAAATGGGCACAGACCACCGCTGGTTGTTTGTGCTCCACTCTTGCAAACAGTGTATCGAAAACACACGTGGAGGCCTCACACTTTCCAGTTCAATGTGTATGAAATTAAGATTAAAGATTGTATTTGTACATATCCAAGAATGAAGGAGGGACAAATTATAATTACTATGCACTGATGTCAAGTATTTACTATGGCATACCATATGTTTTTTGCTCAGGAAGTAGAGCTGGTCATCGCCTTATTCACCCCTAATTCATCTCAATGGCGGCACTATGCAGTTGGAATTAAGACATGATCAGTCGTGACAGACTATAAAATCAAGGTCCACTTACTAGCTTTTTCTGGAGCTCTTAAGAGGATGGAGCTGACTCTGGTGTCACCACAAAGGTTCATGTGTGAAAATCCCTATAGGTGATGTGATGACACCGAAGGATGTTCAATAAGCCAAAGAAGACCATGGGACATGGTCAAAAGTTCAGGAAAAAGCTTGTAAATGAACCTTGAGTTAAGAATATTTTACCGCAGATTTGTGTTTTTGATGCAGGATGGAAGACAGTGCATTGACTTGAGACCAAATTGCAAACTTAAAGATACAAGAAATGACCAAGAAATTCACATTACTCTTTTTCATAACATCTATGTTTTTGCTTATTGTGTATCTTTCAGGTTTAATTTCCTGACAATAAGTAAATCATGAATGCACCGTTTTTTAAAAAGTCTCAAATGTCATGTTTGAGTTATCTAAATATTACACACAACAAATAACATAACTCAAAATGACAATGAAATGTTGTGATGGATTTGAAATAATGAATGGCATATCTAATGCAAATTTCAACTCCCTAAAAGTTCATTTTCTCAATCTACTAAAATGAACAGAAACTAGAGCTGCCATGAACAACAATGATAAACTTTGTTTGTAGAGCACTTCATGCCAAAACAAAGGTCCAATCCATACAGATGCCCCATTTAATAAATAGGTTCAAGAGACTGATTATTGTTCTTAATAGAGACTTTAAAGATATTCCTGGCAGCAAAAGGATGGCAATTCCACCAGTTTAAAGTTTAGACAGAGGGACTGCCAGCAGAGGTTTAGTGTAGGTGTAGGTGATCTGAGGTTGAGTGTATGGGCATAAAAGGAGGCGGGGGGGTCTTTGGAGTCAGCACAGGAAGCATGATGCATTACTGATGCAGAGTAGTTCAAGGATGTAACATGGACACCGTGCCCCCTCAAGCTTCGTGACTGGCCAATAAGTGCCTACCTCACGGTTTATCATCCCTTCACTGGATGTCTGGCACGACATTGCATCTCCCTTCTGGCCGTTCACCAGGAAACAGTGTGATAAACAGCAATGTAGGCCAAGCTGCAGACATACAGTATTTGATATGATAAAGTGACTTTGTGGCTGTTAGGCGTTTAATTTCCTGCCATGAATAGTTTAGCAAAGCAGATTATAATTTGGTTTCTTAATGATTTTGTATGTCATGGTGAGAGGATGAGGCATAATATTCCCCCGACGATAGACTAGCCTGCGTAAATATTGTTTTAAGATGTGCTGAGAGACATATTACTGATTCACAGCTTGTCTTTAGTTGGGCCATAGTTGTTTCCTATTTTTTTTACTTTAAGAGTTCATTTTTCACGGCAAATTAAAGGAATAGTTTGACATTTTGGGAAACGTCCTTATTCTTCTTCTTGCTGAATAATAGATCAGATAAAAGATCGAGCTGTCAACTAAATATGAAGCTACAGCCAGGAGTTGGTTAGCTTAGCTCAGCATAGACTGGTAGACTGGCAACACGGAGAACCACATAGCATGGCTATGATAATAACATAACCACCCATACCACCACAGCTTGTCATTTTTATACTTTGTTTCTTGTATGGATTAAAAACACAAGTACAACAAGTATTAGAGGTGAAGGGAGGCCGATTTTTTGCCTTTGGATAGAGCTAAGCTAGTTGTTTCCCACCCCCGTTTCCTTCTTTTTTGCTAAGATAGGGGTAACCAGCTGCTGGCTCCAGCCTTATATTTAACAGACAGATATGAGATGGGAATCAATCCTCCCATCTAACTCTTGGCATGAGAGCAAACACTCGTGGGGAAAAAAAAGTCATGCATTCATTTCCTCTTGTCGTCTGGAGTATGTGACTGTGCTCGACAGTGAAGCGATCTCAGTTCTGCAAATGATTCAAAATGCAACAAGCACACAGCATCACTTCACTGACCCTCAGCCAAACACCAAATCAACTTGAAGTTCTTGCTGTTTGTCTGTAACTCACTGCAGGTCATGTGACTCAGTATATTTCTGACCCTCTGTTCTCTCGGAAATCCCACAGGTCTTCTCGTAAGAGGCTCTTGGACGTTTGACAGTCTGGTCTAAAATTAACGACTCGTAGCACTTTTGCCTTTATATTCTCAGACTGTGGAAAAATCTCTTGTGTTAAGATGGATTCAGCAGGATTTTCAAAACCAGCTGGAGACCCTCATTCTAGACACTTGTAGTAGGGCCTATACAGTATATTATTCACTATGTACTTATTTCCACAAGGAATTAATGCATTTTACCATTTTCCACCGACAAAAAAAAATGTACGAAATTTTGTTTGGTTTTCCAAAAGCAGCTATCTCCTTCGTGCAATATAGTGCAGGGCATTCGCATCTGTCAACGGCACACAAAATCCCTCAGCTGGATTGGTCACTTCCAGTGTCGCCTCACCACAACTCAAAACCCTGACAGTTCATTCTTAACAGCTAACCAAACAATCTCAAGTTTAAGGAGCTATTTATAAGTTTTTGCTATTGCTACATTAGCATTAACAGCGGTTTACTTTAACGTCGCAAGTTCAGCATCAAACCTTATTCCTTTACTCACCAAGAGCTGTCTCCAGCGGTGGAAAGCGATGCCACTGTTAACTCGCGTCTTCTCCTTAAATTAGCTGATGAATCTATAGAAAATAACTGATAGTTGTAACCATGATATTTTCTTTCTGCCATTTTGTTTAGGCGTCTAAACCTATATTGAGTCTGAAATGTACAGTATGCTCTATGTATTGTGCGAGAAGCAGTTTACGGGTGTTAATATTATAATTGTGCAACACTACATAAGGAATGGATAAGGAATACATGTATGGGGAGTAGTGAACAAGGGAGAGATTTTGGATAGAGCTTTAATGAAGATTCTATCCAGCTGCCTGTCTGCTGTATGATTGCTGGTATAGAGTTATAGATAGATTGTTTGTACTGGCGTCAGAGATGATTGTCTGACCTGGCATTCCAGTGAGAGCTCAGACGTGACGCCATGCAGAGGATCAGAGGGCTTTTCTTAGATTAGCTTTTCTCATTTTATCATACACGCATACATTAATCTGTTCGATGAAATTGAGATTAGGTTTAATCTCTGCGTAGTCTGCCGGGCCACTGCTCATATTCTGTGGTTGGAGGCAAATTAAACGTCTGTTTTAGTCAGCGTTGGGCACAACCACGGCCACAGATGTTATATTTAGATCAGGGTATTGCTCATGTATCGCTGCCATATCGCATGATGCGTTCGACCTGCAGAAATACACGCGAACATGCTGACCTCCTGCAGCCATGATGACGTGAGCGATGCTGAAAGATGCTGGCAATCTCTGCCCTCAAGTGCTCTCAAGACAGTGGGTCTGCTGCATTCAAGAATATTAAAGTACAATTGGATAAAAAGATGAATTATGTTATGTAATTCTCCAATGTGCTGTTTTCCATTCACCTTATTTATGACTCTAAATCAGCCACTCATTATCAATTTTCAAGGGCTTTTAAATAATCCACAGCCTTGATTAATATACACTGGGAATTGCAACAACAACATTAAGAAAATGAATCTCCTCCTCCACGCTGTTACTGGAAATGCAAATTATAATTACAACTATAAACTTTTTTTTGCTTTATAATTAGTAGCTGAAATGTTGAAATGACACTAGCTCTGCACTGAGAAAACGCTTGGCATTTGAAATGGGGCAAAGGGAAGTTAAATGTGGGATTGGAAAGCTAGAAATCCAAGCATCTGGCTAATTGTTGAGTTATTTGTATTGATCAAAAATCCAATGAACTCCCTGCAGATATGGTAATTGTTTGTTATCAATCAGTAGAAATCTGAGGCGCAAAGTGATGGTAATCATGATTCATGTTGCTGTTTTTCTTTTCTTCTTTTTCCAGGAAACCACAATAACTGAAATTAAGCAGAAGATTATGAAGATCCCAGATGCTAATGGTATCGTCATAGATGGGTTCCCTCGAGATGTCGGACAGGCCTTGTCCTTTGAAGACCAGGTGAGTTTCTATCAGGGATTGTCATACTTTCCAGATGCTACTCACATCCAATCATTTGAGAGGGGGAGTCACCACAGAACCACCACGTGAATCCATTCTGTAACTCGTCTCAGTGAAAAACCCATCAACACTTCAGAGAGTTCTGCAAACGTGGAGAATAGAGGGAGCTTTTTAGTTGCTCATTGACAGTCTTCATATTTATGTCAGATTTTCTTTGAGTTCAAATTCAGTCCAAATTTAAACTAGACTGCAACATCTCTTTCTTAAGCACTATGATTTCCCTGGTTTACATGATGACAGTCACCATCAGTGTGTCATTTAAACAAATTCTTTGTTTGCATAAGGGGAAAATTGGATTGTGAACACATGATGGGAACACATCCATCCCCATGTTGGAATATATGGTGTTTTTCTTTTGGCATCCAGACACGGCGTCAGAGTCACTGTTGTTTTGGTTTTTTTGTGTGTGATGTAGACACAGCAAAAGTTCTTATCTGTGTGACCAACAGGGAGTTATTCAATTGGCGCCTGCCAGATGCCCAATATGTAAATGATTTGTTTGAACACCACACACTGGAGCTGTTATCTTTTCTGGTTTCACCTTCAGTAGCATGAGATCTAAGGATGACAGTGGTTGGGTGCTCCGTGGTTTGAGTCACATCGCCAGGGTTTGATGTGTTTGATATTAGAGGCTGCACGGTTCTCTGTAGGTCATTGTCAGGGCATTTAGACTCTTTGATGAATTATAAATATTATCTAAAAAAGTTTTGTCACCAAATGAGCAATCTCCCAAGTGTAGCTAATTAACTAATGAGGATTTAATTATAAAAATAATTTTGCATCTGTTTTACATCAGAGGGTTGCATTTTTAATCAAAATTTGGATTTCCCTTTTTTGGGTGGGGAAATGTCAACTGTGATGACAGCTACTGTGCATACTTGATCATTTTTCAAAGTATAAACATGTCACATTTGTGCTTACACGCCTCTGGGTGGGTGTTTTCCATGGCAGCAGCTGACTGACATTTGAGAGCCGAAAGTTGTTAGGAGACATACTGTCAACTGATTGGAGATCACCACCGGTGGCATTTTAAGCCATCTTTCCCTTAACTACATTTAACATTAGCTGTTGATGTTGCAACTGTTTCCAACTAAAAGCAGCTAAATGCAGCCTGCTTGAAAATAATAAAAGATAATTTCACACCCTAATCTGCATATTAATGATGTCCCAATGTGCAACTTTTCGATTTTTATGTAGTCTCTTGTACAGACTGAGGAAGTATTTCCCTGAACATATTATAAGAAGAAAAAAGTTCACTAATAGAGTTTTATAACAGACATAACTTATAATAGAGATGGCCTTAGTTCATTTTTAAACCAGCGATTTCTCTATATGGGTCCCTTAAGAAAAAAACATGGCAGCAGGTTCTGCAGCCTGCTGTGGGTCCATTAGGAGTGTTTGAAAAAAATATTTCATATCAGCACTGATGCTGAGTTCACACCCTTAATGTTAACAATGCCTTAAATCAGCATGTTTAAGCTATTCAATGGTGAAATGCTTGTTTTCCATTTCACTGCCACGTCAATACTCAATGTTCCTGAAATGCGAAGGCAGTGGCTCTGAGCGAGGACTCTGCCCTTTGACTGGCAGACTGCGGGTCAGTTCTGTTGTGAAACATCTGCCAAACTAAAGTGTCCTTGAGCAAGACTAAAAATTGTCTGGCAGCGGCCGCTCTGGTTGTTTTGACCTGTTTCCTGGGGATCCATTAAGTATTATCTGCCAGTTGTGTCAGAAAAGAAAAGATTCATAAAACACATTGAAAACACCAATGTGAATGGGAATAAGCAAAGTAAGTAAAATAGATGATAACAGATGCTCATACAGAAATTACCCTGATACCAAATTATAGTATATAGTTTATAGCAGTGTTTTTGTCTAAGCTGAAGCCCCCTAATGAAAATATATCCTTTACACTTGAGTGGCCAATTCTGTGACACAACGGTCGATCGCTTTTAGAGGGATTGATTTTCTTTATCACATTTTAACTCACTTAACATTTATCAACTATTAAATGAGCACTCAATGACTTTCATGGTAATTGGGGAATGGGTTGGGGTCCATCTGGGTCAGTTCAAATATAGACTTACTTTATAATCTGGTCATTTTAGCTGCATTACAAGGGACCAGAGGGATGGACATCAGAGTCTGAAGTCCCATTTGGACAGGGTTAATATTCCAAGAGGAGATGAAAATTTGCTGTGCTCCAAAGTCACTAAACTCATTGTTGTAGCTGTTGCCAAATCACAATGCGTTCACTTTGTCAGCAACATTTCTGTACTAGCAATAGTAGCTGTTTACTTACCAGTCTTGGCAAGAGCTTCAGCCATTGTCATTTACAATACAAGAGGTTATAATACATCCTCTGAGCAGCTCTACTTCTTCAGGGCAGCCTGAACGCTTCAGTGACTCGGTATCAGAAAGTAACAAAATGATCCGACCAAGCCGGGGCTAGCTAGTTAGCATGCTAATTAAAGTAAAAGAAAAGAAGGGATAGAGATAGAAGCAAAACAATAGGGATGCTTGCCAAGAGTTTCAGCCATCGTTACATTTACAAGACAAGAGGTTGTAAAACCTTCTCTGGGCAGCACTACTTCTTCAGGGACGCTACAGTGACTTTGTATCTGAAAGTGATGGCTCAGTCCAACTAGACTGGGGCTAGCTGGTTAGCATGCTAACTTCAGCACAATAGAAGAAGAAGTTTTAGAGATAGAAGCAAAACAAAATTGTTCGTTCCCACTGCTGGAGACAACTCTTGGTGAGTAAAGAAATGAAGTTTGATACAGAACTCAACGTCTCTTTTAGACTGTAAACAGCTGTTAATGCTAACATAGGCTATGTTGCAATAACAAAACTTAAAAATAGCTCCTTTAGCCTAAATAACTGACTGATAATAAGTTCCAGTAAGTGTAAAAAGTGAGTTTAGAAACTGAATTTAGTCTGTAAGGTGACTGTGTTGAAATGCCCACAAGCTCCGATCAAATAATTCGTTTTCAACATTAGATTAGAAAGGAGAGGTTCTGGGAGGAAAAAGTCCTGCTCACTCATCACACACCACTTCACTAAAGTTGCTTGACGTGGCTCGTTCAGTCACTGCAGAAGTGAACGTATCCATTGACAGGCCATGTATTCTGTTAATATGTCACTTAAGGAAGCACTTAAGCAGAGCATGGATGTAAATATCAAGCACCATTATAGTCCACAAACTGCAGCTCCCCAGCGGCGCTGAATGGTGATTAAATGGGGGTTTGTGGGCTCCTGCAGAGGAAACCAGATGGGGCTCTTCTCAAGGTACCATTTAGTGAACGATGGCATCGGGCTTTATCTTGTCATCTTTCTAGTTAACTCATGTGAATGGCTTGTTTATTTACGCAGCCATGGCCAAACAGCTGGCTCTATAGTGTCTGGCTGCTCCAGTTGGTTAAGTTAACAAACAGTGACTTTCTGTCTCTGGCATTATGTTTCGTATTCCTTCCTCACATTCAGTTACATGCTGGATATACAATGCAAATATATACAGGCATAAATGTACACACAATAATGCAGATTTATATGTAAACAAAGCACCAGTTCCTCCTTTACTTGAATGTGAAAGTGTGTCCCAATTTTTGTATATAAAATAAATAATATATAAAACTTTTGTATATAGAAGCACACACACACACACATGCTCATGCATAGATAAAGTACAACCAAAAACTTTCACACACACACACACAAACACACGTAAAGAAGTAAAGAAACACACATATATACAAGTACATAGTACACAACTAACATATTACACACAACTAAATAAACAGTATAAATGCACATATAATATGTGAACCTAACATGCACACTGTAACAAGTGAGACTCCATATGAAAATGTTTTCAGATTTGCGTTGGGAATCTGCTCAGTGGTTGCAGTTAAGGTTTTAACTGTCCTGTTGACTTTGCATATTACATTTCATAAATCCTGCTGTGGATTAATGAATCAGGATGAGTCCGCTGCTGATATGATGGAGATTAGCATTAGCATTTTGTGATTTTGTTTTTCAACACAGATTTTTTTTTGGCTGGTAAATGTATCTCAGAGGTTTTTTCCATCTAGATAGGTCCGCGGGCTTCAACTTACTTTAACAAGCTGCAAAAAGTAAATATTTCTCCGAAACTGAATTAAGAGCTTTACTGTCCTCTCTTGGAGAGAACTTCAAGGAAATCTATTATATAGGTGGTTTAAAATTGTCGCCACAAAAGCTTTTGGTAGCCTCAGTACAAAAATGTAAACACTAGATATGAAAATCTCTAATGGATGGACAGATACATTAATACAGACCTGCTTTACCTTTTGTTTTTTTGTTTGAATTTCTTTTAGGTCACAAATTAGCATTCATTTCTTCCATGTTTGTTTTTCTGATTAGAAAAGGTTATTTTCACTGAAACTTCCGTCCATGCCTGATTTATTGCACCGTAAACTGTTCCAGGCGTTGTGTATAGATTCTCATCACACTGACCACTGTGGACAACTTATCCTCCCTCATGTCTTCATTATACTCTCTCGTCTCCCCGGTAATTGTACATTTTCTCCCTCTTTCTCTGAAGAGATCCGAGTCTCAGCGTAATGAGAGCTCATAATGTGCTTGCTGCTGTCTCCCGGTCCACCTCACCTGACAACGGATTCCACTCAGTACATTATAGCCCCTGTCTGGAAGCTGCCTCAGGAAACAAGACAAAGAAACGAGATGATATATATAAAACTAACTCATGTACGGAGAGAGGGATTTCTAGCCAGACAATACTCACTCAATCAGCCCCCCCCCCTCCAAATGGCAAATTAACAAGCATTTTCACATCCAGGGGCACTGGAAGTCTCATAATTAAAATTTTATCCCATCTCTCATCTTATAATTTGGTAAATTACATTTCATAATAGATATGATAGACTTTTTTTTTTTTATTG